CGCAACGTTGATTGTCATAGCATAGCATAGGTAGTTGGTTAATTTAAACAACAGAAATTAACAAACTCTTCATTCTTGCCATTGAATTGACTGTTTATGAGTACGGGTTAGTCCAAACATGTTAGGATATGTCTCTTGTAACTTTTTATATCATTTTAGACTTGTAGGAGTATTTGGGCGTACATATGCTTGTACAATTGAGTAAAATGCAGCCACTTAAAATAATTAAATAACTAACTAATTGGACAATTATAATTCAAATTAACTCCCTGCAAATGTAGGGTTCGAAAGTAAATTACGGTTTCTGTTGAGTGTAGAGCAAAGCTCCGCATCATTTACACGCTGACAGAAAAATTGAGCAGCAGACATATAGATGAACAATAATATAGAGGAACAAGTACTCAGAGTAACAAATATACAGAGAAACAATTATGGAGAAATAAAAACATAAAAAAGAACAAATTGAACCTTTTGCTCCGCATTTCGCCAGTTGAGGAGCTTACAGGGCCACATGCCCAGGGGCACAATGTCGTCACATCCTTCCGCCCCAGCTGGCAACACACGTACCCGCTCATGTCGGCTGCCATCTGCCGGTTTTTAGAGCACTCACCGTAACTGCATAGACGCTCAGCGCCTATTTTAGTCGTGATGTTAATAGCGTGTTTCCCTCGTCTCTATATCATTATTTTACACATGCCTCCCTATCTTTTTCCTCCGATCGCTGAGCTCAGTACTGCGCATGCGCAGGAAGTCGCGACGCGTTTAGTACTCAGTCAACGCCGGCAGAGGGCGCAAAAACTCGTGTTTTTGTCACGCTCTCACGGCAAGGGGAACCCACGCACTACTGGGCCCTAGAGGCACTTATTTCACAGCGGGGAAACACTGCTTTGAAATTATTCAGTGTTTAGACAAGTATCTAACAGTGAGCACAACTTAGCGTGCTTGCTTCTACTGAGTCCATGACTATGAATAATAATGGCCTTGAGATCAACATAAGTATCATTAGTGAATGAGATCAATATAAGACATTTATATCAACTGTTTCAAGAGAGGAAACGAATGTTTGCTTATTTATCAGTGTTAATTATCTGCCGAATAAGTATCCCAAACTACATGTAATATTAGGAATTATATAATATTCTATTTCGAGTGGTTGGCACGCGTTATACCCACACAAATTGAACAATTCAAGTTCACGAATGGAAATTCTTATGAAATTTTTGCGTTCACTGTTATATTTACTTTGGTTTCTTTAGATAACGATTTAATGTGTTATGTAGTATTTCCGAGCAAATGCTCGAATTCACCAAATTCATGTTAAAAATGTATGACATATAGTAGTCAAGTCTCGCACAAGGTGCAAATTTCAAATTTGGATACGAAATTCATTAGTATTATAAATATAGTCTTCTCGAAGGCACCGGAAGTTAAGTGGGAGTTACTCGTTTTATTAACGAATGAACTCGTTTCTCAAAATTACCTAAAGTAAGACAAATCCCTCGATGAAAATTTTTAAGAACTTTACAAGACAGACGAGCGATGCAAGTGAGAAAAGGTCGCAGATATTCTAGCATTTTCGCCTGAAGAAATGACACAATTTCAAATATAAATCTTATAAATAAAAAAGAAAAGAATAATAAAATGCCCATGTATCGGAAGCTTCACATTTTCTTCTTGGCTAATTGAAAAGAGAGAGAGAGAGAAAAAAAATCAGTGACACAAAGTTCTCCTTTTTTCGGAAGGGTGAAGTCGAAAAAAGGAAGGAGGTTCGAGAACCTCGTCGTCGTAGGAGACCAGGGGACTGAAGGATGCATGAAGGATCGCACGTGCGCATCCTAGAGCTGTTTCCTGTGTGTCTGCTGCTCATTTATTTGCCTGAAGCGTAAGGCGAGAGCGCGCATCCTGTTAGAGAAGGAAACCGCAGACTGCCTCCAACTCCGCCATTAGCACTTGCACTTATCCTAAGCATCTTATCTGCGTTATAGTTAGCGACTTCGCACGTGAGTTAGCATCTGGGTTAGCACGTGAGTTAACACGTGAGTTAGCATTTGAGTTAGCACGTGTGTTAGCACGTGAGTTAACACGTGAGCTAGCACGTGATTGAACTACTTAGCACGTGAGCTAGCACGTGAGTTAGCACGTGAGCTAGCACGTGATTGAACTACTTAGCACGTGAGCTAGCACGTGAGTTAGCACGTGAGCTAGCACGTGAGCTAGCACGTGAGCTAGCTCGTGAGTTAGCACGTAAGTTAGCACGTGAGTTAGCACGTGAGCTAGTTAGCGACTTAGCACATGAGTTTGCATGTGAGTTAGCACGAGAGTTTCTCATCTTTTATCGTTAGTAAAGCATTTTTCATCTAATTAAATGAAACTAGCACAAAACCAAGCTATTGGTGCCATCGGATAAGTCCTCGAGTATCATCTAAGCACTAACATTACAGCAATCTGAACACAAACCGAAGGCATCTGAACATGAAATAGTGCTAACTATCGGACAGCATTAGTACCACGGTGACACCATCTGATGCCACCTGAACACCATCAGTACCACCCTGACACCATCTGGTGCCACCTGAACACCATCTGTACCACCCTGACACCATCTGGTGCCACCTGAACACCATCTGTACCACGGTGACACCATTTGATGCCACCTGAACACCATCAGTACCACCCTGACACCATCTGGTGCCACCTGAACACCATCAGTACCACCCTGACACCATCTGGTGCCACCTGAACACCAAGAACTAAGAGGACAGGAAACGGTCTCAGTGAAGGAAGGGGAAAATGAGGGGCTGGGGAGGGCTGTGAGGGGTTGAGGAAGGCTGTGAGGGGTTGAGGAAGGCTGTAAGGGTTTAGGAGGGCTGTGAGGGGATGGGCAGAGCTGCCAAGGGCTAGAGAGGGCATTTGGGCACAGGGTTGTTTTGATTAACTTGTTATACGTTCCGTGTGACGTCGAGATTACTTGTTACGAGACCTGAGGATTAACCTGGTTAAACTGCGTGGACAACTTATTATACCAGGTTAAGCTGCACTTTATCGCACTCAATTCTTAATTAGACCAAGGTTATCTCTTAGAGTATGTGGTGTAAATAAATATGTACTGTAAAATATGTTATCGAGTGGTCATAGAGTAGTTACTACACATTTGATACAAAAAATTATTTTTAATTATTCGAAACTCTACCGACGGCCGCGTTCAGTAAAAGGAGAAAACAAAAAATCAGAAAAACTTACTGTGCCAGCTCGGGGCTCCGGCTGTCGGGCGGCGGCTTGTTCAAGCGTGGCGGGACTGAGAAGAAAGACGTTACCGACAAAGAGAGGTAAAAGTTTCTGAAGTCATAGCAAGTCATGTGTGAAAAAACTCGCTTATATTATCAAAATCTAGAGGAATGCAGAACTAAAGAACTGATTTTTGAAGCTCATAGTGACAAACTCATTGTCTTAAATTTTATAATAGTGTAAAACTATTGTGTACATTAGCGGAAGCCCGATCACATCGAACCTGAACCACCACGAATAAGTCGATTTGGTACAAGACTAGGTAATGACGACACGGTCCGTAAATATCTAAATGGCCGCCTCGTGAATGGCTTTGACATAGTATTATCCAAGCATATATACACATGAATGACATGATAGCTATTTTTCATGAAGGGTTATTAGTTATACAGGCTTGCATGTTATGCTTAACACCATCGCAGTTATGTCACTGATAAGGTTTTTAAGTCTTATGAACGTTTAGCGTAAATTGAAATCGTGGAGGGAACCTGACATAGCGGACTGTTATTCGGCAGCTGCCGTAGCGACTAGCGTAGCGTAGCAGTCAGTCCATGCCCAAACGTCGCGAGGGAAGGTTCTGCTCACGTTGAGTGTCGATCTTTTGACTGAGGTGTTTTCGAAATGCTTTGTACTCATGAGACTTCACGATGTGAATAAATCTGATAAAGTATTCAATGGATTTTTCAAGCGATATTTTTGAATAAACCTGCTTGATTATATTTGGTATCAAAGGAGTGACGCTTCTTGAACTAATTCAAGTTAAGTTAAACCGGTGTTTTGTAACGTTTAGTTGCAGTGGAATGCAAGTTATTCCTCAAATAGACATTAAAATTAATATTTTATGTGATTACCTTCGAGTCATTTAGCATTCTAGTTGCCCCAACCGTTAGGCATTCAACTGTCGTTAGATATTTCATTTCGTGGTCCCAATTTACACAACCTTAACTCATATTCAAATAAATAACGGAAGTTATTCAGAGGTCGCAATTGTTAGGGAAAAATTGTGTGCTCTAATGGAAACGATATAAATAATAGTAATTGTGAGTTAAAAAAATAAAAATCATAAAATCTGAGCTCTAGCTGATATTTATCAATTAAGTGCTTTGGTATATGAAGTAACTAAACATTTATGCACTGTATCCTGTGCATTTATGAAACTGTAAACAATACATCTATATACGCTATTTACTATACATCTATATACACTATAAAGCAGGTTTCATTGAAGACCAGAGAATTTGTTTTATTCACAATTTTCTTATTAGTTTTTTCGATATATCGAACAATATTTTTAGTTTAACTGGCAAATCAAATATCAGGTTAGCGAGGGACATTGTTATTTCGTTAACGACGTTTCGAATGTTTCTATCATTCATTATCAAGTTAAAAGGCGCATTGAGTGATGGAATCATTGAGTGATGGTCTTCAATGAAACCTGCTTGAAAGAAGAAATTCTGCCAACCTATACTAATTTATACACTATAAACTAAACATACATGTATGTACACTAAGGAATGTAAATAATCATTTAAAATCAGCTTGAGGGGCCTGATGAGCGTTTCGGAGTGAGAAATGTAGGCATAGCTTGCTACGGATTATGGAGTTCCTAAATAGTATTTCTTCACAATGATAATTTAAATAGTTTTCATCAGTCGATGTGGTATAGGATGTGGAATAAGCAATTCTTGTTCTCATTCCTTAACTCTGAATTTTCAGACGTTGAGAACGCTGAACAGATCTTGTGTTAGAGTTAATGTGGTATTGTCGATTTTTATATTATCTGAGAAAAGAAATTAATATTTACTCTCATTTTTGGGTTACCAATCAAGTGCGGATGAACTTAGGAATGTTTGCGATAACTGTGGTGTGATGAGGTGTGTTGTGCAGTGGATGAAAATAAAGCTACTGTGCAGTGGTCGTAAAGCAAAGCTGGTGAGCTGTTCAAAGTAAAACTTTGTAAAGTAAAACTGCTGAGCTGTGCAGTGAGTATGAAGTGCATCTGCGTATAGCTGTTAGGCGCCACGGACAGATTTACATTAGTGAACTAAAATGACCCTTCTAGGCTTCTAACGAGCCAGAGGTCAAAGTGAGGTCACTCGCGCGGCCATCCAAGTGTTCTTGTTCACACGCAACCTTCATGCCTGGTGAGTTGAACAAATATTAATTCTAGAAATTTATGAATTCTAGATATGTATGAATTGTAGAAATGTGTGAATTGTAGAAATGTATAAATTGTAGAAATGTATGAATTGTAGAAATTTATGAATGCTTAAAATGTATGAATTGTAGAAATGTGTGAATTGTAGAAATGTATGAATTGTAGAAATTTATGAATGCTTAAAATGTATGAATTGTAGAAATTGCTATATATTTATGGCAGGTTTAACTATGATTAGTATTCAGCTTTATATTCAGATTTCTTGCCTGAAAATTCAATTTTTTTCTTCAATTTACGTACTTATCTTTAAGGTACTCTCAACTGAAATTATTTTCAATGTTAAAACTAGGAACGTGTGCAAAATTTACATTAAATGTTCAATATTTGGCCTGATTTACATAAATGATCTTTATTTGCAGTCTCAGCTTGTTAATTTTTGTTTGGTTAAATTTTGCATTTAAACCGAAGTTTATTTAAAGAAAATCTTTACTGAGTGAATGGCCATATATGTAGCTTGGCCAGGTAAAGCAAAAAGCTTATTATTATATTATTTACATTTGTATAACCTAACAAATAACAAAAATCAATATAACGCATTGAAAAAAGGTTTTATTACTGTTACTGATTCACATGTTCGACTCTTAAATTCCACCTTCATTCACTCATGCATGCCGGGCATTCAGTGAGTGAATAAGGCTAAATAGAGACTTCACTCAAGACTAAACCTATTTATTATATACAAGCTATCTTGCTAAATTCTAATGGAATTCACGTCCTTATTTATTTAAATTATTTGCGGCCGGTATTAATTATTCGTAAAATCAATAAAATTAAGTGAAAGTTGATGTTTCGTTCCTAATGTCCTCTTGCTTTTCCCGGAAAATGAATAATTTGTGAAAAGTTATGTAATAGGCAGAAAAATCAGAGCAGATTTTTCCTTAAAATTGTAAAAATTTGATCGTAAAAATTGGATTAAACAAGTAAAATTTTTAAAATAAATCACCTTTTTTAAAGCGTCAGAATGAGATAATCTTCGCATTTTAATAAAATTTGTCTTTTGATGAAATTTTGACATTTTTTCGGAATGATTTGGAAGACAAGAACATTTATCATGTAACGAAGACTTGAAAAATTCTCGTAAGAAGAACACAGTCTGGGGAAGTTGTACGGGCACGTGAGGGGGGAGTGGACCGTGACGTGTTAAATTACACCTGTCACTGCCTGAGCAATGAGCGTGGCGCGTCACTGTCTGAGCAGTGAGCGTGGCGTGTCAATGAAGTAGCTAAAGCAGTTTATTGTAGCTACAGAAACTATACGCCTGCTTATTGCAGCAGCAGCAGCAGCAGCAGCAGTAGCAGCTGTTATTCAGAAGCTGCATCGAGCCGTGACTGCAAGCAGACGTTGAGCGCAGATGTGCATTTAGTGCTGCTCCTTTTACGGCTGTTGCTTCCTCGCCATCATTTATTGTGTTTAAGCTCCTTCATGCATGAGAGAATTGCACCTCCGCGGTCTTCTCACACAATTTTTAAACAAAGACTTTGCGTTGGTTTCTTGAGTTGTTCTGCTGCTGCGATGATTTCGAATTTTCCTGGTAGTTGACTGGTTGGAAAGTCAGGCAATCTCTCACGCTTGACTTTCTGTGAGGGATAAAAATAGTTTTATTTTATGAATAAATGTTGTTTTTATTGCAGGATTAATGTAGGATACAACTTTTTTAGAGGGATAAATTCTGATAAAACTGGTTTTTATTAAGTAGCGATAAGGGGTTTTACGTGTTTTTTATTACTGGACAAAAGTTTTGTGAAATTGGTTTTAATCAGAGGACAAAAGGGTAATTAAACTGGGATTTTAATTACTGCCCGAAAGCAGGATGGTAGTTATTTTTATCGTGAGTTTCATGCAAAATTCTGCGCCGTGAGAAGCAGGATTGCAAATGTCGAGTTAGGTAAAATCTTATCATAATAGAAAGGAATTCGATGGAATGTCGCACTAAGATATAAGATTTACTGACTTGGCTCTGCTGTTATTCATGAATTTACTAAAGTGCAGTCACTGATAAATTGAGAACGGAATTGTAACTTCTCGAGAAATTAATTTGTTGTTCTAATTAACTAAATTAAATTCATGACATTAAAAAAACGCGGCATTTGGACATAAATCGAGTACGCTTCAAAATAATGCAATTAAATGAATAAAGTCTTTGAAATTGGAATATAAATATGAAATAAATTACGCGCCTAGCTTTTCATATTTACTTTTAGCAACGATAGCGTAAACTATATCAATTTATATTAACTATAACTTATATATTAACTTTACCTATAACTTATTTATTTCTAGCATAATTAATTTTGAACACCTATTCATTTGTATTTATACACCAAAGTTTCAGTAAAACTAATTCAATTACGCGTAAAAATTTACTGTTGTGCAATCTACATCAGCGAGTCAAGAGATTAATTCGACTTCCCGTGCAGCGAAGGTTTTAACGTGCGGATGCAATCAACGGGATTATGTAAGATTGCTGCGCTATCATGCGCCTGTATCGGTGTGTGACTCAAGCTGCCTTCATACACGACTTCTGGATAAAATAAAGCTGCCTTCATGCAAGAAATAAAGCTGCCTTCATACAAGACTTCTGGATAAAATAAAGCTGTCTTCATACACGACTTCTGGATAAAATAAAGCTGCCTTCATACACGACTTCTGGATGAAATAAAGCTGCCTTTATACACGACTTCTGGATGAAATAAAGCTGTCTTCATACAAGACTTCTGGATGAAATAAAGCTGCCTTCATACAAGACTTCTGGATAAAATAAAGCTGCCTTCATACAAGACTTCTGGATAAAATAAAGCTGCCTTCATACACGACTTCTGGATAAAATGAAGCATCTTTCAAACAAGATTTCCGGATAAAATGAAGCTGCCTTCATACACGACTTCTGGATAAAAAACTGCCTTCATACACGACTTCTTGATAAATAAATCTGCCTTATTCAAGATTTCTGGATAAAATATTTGCGATTGCCATTAATTATTAATGTAGAGTTTAGCTCTGCTACTGCGCGTGTCTTCTATTGTTTATTTGCTGATATTCCTGTTCATAATGTTAAGCCAGCTTTAATTATAGATGGTGTAGAGAAAACGCTTAAAACAATAAGACGTATTGTTTGCTAAGGAAAACCGACTGAGATCTTACAATGCAGGTAAAAACGTTATTTAAAACCGTGACGTATTTAAACAATATTATTCTTTGCTGTAGAATCAGTCATTTCTCATTCTTCATACATGGAATGGAAAGGGTATAATGTGTATTGCTTATCCCACTGGATGGGCACTGGCTGGCCTCTAATGAGTGATCTATGAATCTCTGTCATGCATAAATGAAACCCCTGATGAGGACCGTTTAACCCCTGATGAGCATCCCCAAACCCTTATGAGAACCCTTGACACCCTATGAGCCCCGACAAAATCCCCAAGACAATGCAGTTGATACAGCGCGACATATCGCTCTGAACATCGCTCTGAACATCGCTCTGAACATCGCTCTGAACATCGCTCTGAACATCGCTCTGAACATCGCTCTGAACATCGCTCTGAACATCTCTCTGAACATCGCTCTGAACATCGCTCGTCTCAAAACATTTTTTTCGTGCTACTACTTTACCGTTGGCCAACTTAGCACTGAAAAGATCAACATGTCGTATTGTCCAAATAGTGACCCACTTGCCACTTCCTTCACCAAAGTGCGAGCAAGAGCGGACGTAGCACTGATACGCCCTCTTCCGAGTCAAAGTTGGTAAAGATGACTTACACAATGGCAAAGAGTGCGTCGCCATTTGGAAAAATTTCATTCATGATGGTTGATCTTCACGGTCCATAAGTATCATGACGTTTCATGGGCAGATCACTGCACAGGGTTGCCGTGAAAAACTCATGCATCAAACCGATGATTGTGATTGTTGAGGCAGCCTCACGTGCATCATAACGATGATAGTGATTGTTGAGACAGCATCGCGTGCATCAAACCGATGATTGTGATTGTTGAGGCAGCCTCACGTGCATCATAACGATGATAGTGATTGTTGAGACAGCATCGCGTGCATCAAACCGATGATAGTGATTGTTGAGGCTGCTTCGCGTGCATCAAACCGATGATAGTGATTGTTGAGGCTGCTTCGCGTGCATCAAACCGATGATAGTGGTTGTTGATGTAGCATCGCGTGCATCAAACCGATGATGATGGTTGCTGTATCATTGCGTGCTGAAGGCTATGCTGCATTTATCAATAGAGTGGCGGCGGGAAGCTGTTATCGCAACAAGAGCCTGCGGGTAATAGGTTCAAGGGTTACACAAGATGAATTACCCCAGCGGTTATCACCGTCATTACCTCGCTGTGTCTCCGCGTGTGTTCTCAGCTTCCGGTACCTGCACTGCAGGTTATGAATGTGGGACTATAAAATGGATTGTGAACAGGATTATGAGTGCGAATATCAGCAAGGCCTGCACGTATGGAGATTATGAGTGCAGGATTACGAGCATGAATAAACATTAATTAAAGTTGCTCCTCCATTACAAATGGATGAGGAACTTTAACTTATTTCATGAATGCATAATCTTTTATATGCATTTACAGACAAAAGATTGAGCACTCCGTAATTATTGGTCCATCAGAAAAGCTTAGATTATGCGAATAGTCGACGATCTCGTATAAAATTGGATGGTGTGTGATGGTGACACGCACGAACTCTATAGGACACACGGTGCGCAAGATTAAAACGTGCGCAACACGGCACGTAGGTGCGTAAGTCTCACGACATGTCCATGGCTTGTCCAGTAGATCACACGGCGCGCAGGTGCGTAGGTCACACGGTGCGCAGGTGCGTAGATCACACGGTGCGCAGGTGCGTAGATCACACGGTGCGCAGGTGCGTAGATCACACGGCGCGCAGGTGCGTAGGTAACACGGTGCGCAAGTGCGTAG